GCGTTCACGGAAGTCTGGATCACCATAGCCTTGTCTAGGCGAAACTACTCAGAAAAAATCTTGATTCGGGGGTGTATGGGTGGGCTGAGGTGAAGGTCCTATTCCCAAAACAGATTGATGGAAGAGGATGAGAACAACCGATAATGGGCGTTTATTGTGATACGGTTGTGTTAGCATTGGATTGGTCAAGGAATGGACGAGATTTTTCAATCGGGAAACAAACTCCAGCTCAATTTCCGGTGTTCAAAAATGTCCGAAACAAATGCACGTTGGCAACCAGAATGCTGGCTGGTATTTGGAACAATTATGGTCCCATCTAATATTCTTGATCATTTTGTGTGTAAAATATAACTCAACCGGTCGTTTGAAATCACAATTTTAATCTCGACAAATGTGAGATAACGTCCTGCGTGTTATTGAAAACAAAATTAATAAGTCGTCGATTCGTCGTTTAAAGAAACACGATAGATTTGGATTTTTAAGTGATGGTCTATTAAAAATGAGATCGAATTCAATACATCCAATTAATTATACGGTCATATCCGTTCGCCAAAAGTCTCGGGTTCCTCACCTCCTGGGATATGAAAAACTTCCGTATGTCTCGAATAAGAAGGATTTCCGTGTCATTGTTCCGGACAACCTAATTTGTTCTTTAAACTGTTCCAGAGCGTCGTACACAACTGCAAGACATTTTGATTTGGTGGGATGACTTTTAAGCATTTGTTGTCTATTTGTTTAGCGTCCGGTATGGGCGAGCTTGGCCAAAATCGCACTAGTTATCGTTGCGACTTACAGTACCGGATGCCGGTAAAAATAGAGGCTGGGCTGAACTGAGCTGGATTGACCCTTAAAATCGCATTTCTAGATTGCTAGCTCAAGATGTTTATTTTCGACCCGGTTACCATTTCATCTCCCATTACGAAGCATTACGATTTGAGTCTGCCAAAAACATAATTGTCTGATAAACAAAATCCACCATCATGTTTACTGTGTCCTGTGAGAATAATCTTACTGACCTTCGTTGTCTTAGAATTAGCCGATTATTGATTATTTCCTTTCGACTGAACACATTCAGTTCTCGCATAAGTGATTACTCGGGGTGGTCCTTAAAACTAATGGGGGGGGGAATCGTGATGGTTAGTTGTGATGATCGTGTAACGAGTACGCACGCCCGAGGGTACAGCTTCCAGGTAAACCAATCAGGAAACGGATTTACCAACCAATCCTGTGGTTTCAATCGTCACCAACCGGATTGGTTGAATACAAGAAGACAACCAAATGAGACATACCGTTGTCGATTGGTCTACGAAGAGTCGACCAATGATTGCTTGATGCTTGTGATATTTATTCGTATAATTTTCTGAATAGAACTAACTTTATCCGCAGCTCGTTTTGGTTCTACCTGATTTTGTGCTATTCAGGGGCATTCTTCGAATCCGAGTTCGCGCTATTCGCTATTCCTTTTCTGAATATTACATTAGTCCAGTCTGACGGTACCAAAAGCCGGTATAGACAATATCAATGGGACGAGCTGAGTGTGAGGAAAACACAGTGGACTGTTTTTACCA